GCCCTGGAGAAAGGAAAAGAACTACTGTTAAACAGTGCCCCCAATCCCCAACTCACGAAACTGGCTCAGAAGGATACCGTGTTGACAGTATCGAAAGCTGCTGAGAGATCAGGGAACACAAGGAGTGATGTACCATAACCCTCCTGGCTCCTCCACAGGTCATCAACAAGCGTGACCAAGGCTGTCTCAGTACTGAATCATGGCCTGAAACCCCAACTGAAATGGGTCTAAATAATCTGTTTCCTCCAGGGTTCTCCTCAGCTACAGGCTGATCACTTTCTCAACAATCTTCCCCATAAAAGGAAGTTTGGAGACTAGTCGGTAGTTGTAAAAAAAAAATTGGGTCCAAGGACGATCTCTTGAGGAGGGGCACACCACCGCCTTTTGAAGGCATGAGATGAGCAGACTTATCAATTGGAGCTAAAAAAAAAAAGCACACCGGCAGTCCACAGTCTATTTTTAGGTAGAGGTTATGTGTCATTGGGGTCAAGGAGAGAAATTCAGACACTGAGAAACTGTCTAAGCCAAGGTTAGCTGCAGTTCTAGGAAGGGACCCAACAGATGTTTGTTTGTTTATTTGATTTTTCTCCCATCTTTATTTTTGGCCAACTCAAGGCAGCGTACATACCTAATGCTCCCTCCTATTTTTCTGACAGCAACAACCCTGGGAGAGAGTGACTGGCCTAGAGTCACCCATCTGGCTTTCATGCCTAGGGGAGAACTCACAGTCTCCCATTTCCTAGCCCAGCACCTTAGCCACTATACCAAGCTGACTCTTTCAGAGTTTCGAAGTCATGGGCATTTTCGGGGAGGAGGGGGCAAGTAGTATGAAACATGTCTTGATGTCATTGTGCAGATATTCAGATTACATAAGTCACAATACTTGTGCAATGACATCATGATGCACATGACATCATTGTGGCTTGTACTGGACACCTGTGTTCAAATACCTATATTCATATACTGTGCTAAGCTATAATATACGGGTAGTCCTCACTTAACAGTGGTAATTGGGACTGGAATTTCCATTGCTAAGGGATTTATTCTTTAAGTGAGGACCTCACATGACTGTGACTTGTGACTTCCTGCTGGCTTCCATCAAGCAAAGTCAATGGGGAAGCTGGCAGAAGTCACAAGTCCCGGGTAGCTCGCAAGCAGCTCGGCAGGTGGGTGAGTGCTATGGAGTATGGCTGGGTGGGGGAGGGTGCTGTGCATATGTGCATACTTGGGCTATGAACTGCAGGAGGGGGGTTGTTGTGGGCAGGTGTGTACCACAGCGTACGAGATCCCTGGGATCTCATACTCTGTAGCAGGCTCCGTGGGAGAAAAAGTGGGAGCAACTTGCAACCTTCCCTGCCAGCTACCCATTGACTTTGTTTGTAAGAATTCGGCAAGGAAGGTTGCAGATGGCAATCACATGACCACAGGACACTGCAACTGTCATAAGCGCAAGCCGGTTGCCAAGCACCTGAATTGTGATCACATGATTGCAGAGGTGCTGCAACAACTGCAACTCTGAGGACCGGTCACAAATACCACTCATTCAATGCCATCGCAACTTCAAATGGTCGCTGAACAAGTAGTCATTAAACAAGGACTACCTGTAGTTTGATTTTGGCTTGGTGTGTTTTATGAATTACTGCTACTGTAGTTAGTCACTAGTGTAGGTTTTTCAATAAACTGGTTAAAACAAGTGATTCTTCACCCTGTGTGTAAAGCTAACCATTATATGCATAAGGTTTGGTTGTATATATCTATGATTCAGTAGGCTATCTTCAAACTGAGAATGGGTGGACTCAGAAAGACTCACAAATATTTAGACTGAAAAATAGATTGCATACATTCATACAGCCCTGCAGAAAAATGAAACTCTGGTTTATATCCCTGTGAGTTTTATCCCACCTGAACTCTATAGCTCAAAGAAATCTTTCCAAATCACACATCTTGCTAAGACAATAATTTTAATTATACTTTATTGAACCAGCAGTTGTCTTCTAATTCACATGTAAAGGTGTACAGCTGTAAAGGTGGATTTGCACATCATGCTAAGTTAAACCAAATACTTCTCATTCCACGAGGAGATCCCTGTTAGTTCGTGGTAGCCAAAAATCAAGAGGAGTCTGGTAGCACTTTTTCAGCTAACAAATTTTATGAAAATATATAAGTTTTTGGGAGCTACGGTTCCTTTCTCATTTGCATGCAATGGCTAAACTGATGTAGGATTTAAGCTAGGGTTGGGGGGAAAGGTTGATTATGCAGGTTACTGGTGAGACAGATTACCTTATCAAGTAACAATGGTAATGTGTTAAAAACCTATTAGGTTTGATTCCTGAGATAGGTTAAAACCCTTTGATGTATGTGAGTTCAATATTTTGTTCAATTGTGCCAGTCAAGTTTTTTTTTTCCTAAAACGGCTACTGTACTGTATTTTGAAATCTATAATGGAGCATCCTGGGAGGTTAAGTGCTCTGATATTACTTTGTCCTTGTTTTGAATCCTGTTGTCATCTTGTGTCTATTATTTTTTTGCATGAAATTTGGTCTGACCCTGTTTGCCTTACATGGAATCCAGAGGCACGTTGCTGGCAGATAATGGCATATATTGCATTAGAGGAAGAGCAGATGAAGGCACCTCTAATTCTTGCAGGAGGTTGTTTGGCTTGTGATTGTGCTGTTGACATAGATGTGGGGACCTTTAAGATGGGAACCAGATCCTACAACAACCCTAGATGTTGCTCTGCTCCACAATGGCTTCCTAACACATTACAGTTGTTAATTAATAAGGTACTTGTAATCTTTCTCACACATAACCTGCACCAGCATACCTGTTCTAATTTATTAGTTTAAAAAGTTGCTACCACGCTCCTCCTGATTTCAGCTAAACCAGGTGAACCATAATATGGTTTAGCATTATGTGTGAACCAGGCCATTCTGTCAGTTGGGGAAACCTCCAAGAAAGTCCTGTGTATGAGAGGAGAATATGTCCCATAGGGTACACTTGTGGCCTGTGATAGTAACTAGATGTTTGGGCCATGTTGCTCCCCTGCTCCCCCCAAATATGCGATTCAGAATGTACCCCAGAAGCCTTACAACTGCACATAATAATGGTGGCTTCTCACCTTCTCCTGGAACCGTTTGAAAACCACTGTGTTAAGGAATGCAGTAGGTTTCTCAAGCAGTGCATACATTGTGATGGCATTTTCTGGGCCAAATAACAAAAGCTTAGAGTTGGAGAGAAATGCAGTTCCTGCATAAGAGGAGAAGTCTGCCCATAGCAGGAAGTTTGCTTTGCAGAGCAAATATTGATAAGCTCTTCTTAAGTAACAGCTGCATAGACTTCAGTGAAATTGTTTGCAAGAACTTAGTTTCTTCCTTGAAAGTTTCATTATTATTTTTAATATTATTTGGAGTATAAGATTCTCAGTTATGAAGTGCTCAGGCTTGTCAGAATAATTATCATTCCTTGTATGCCTGGTTGATAGTATACATCTTCTGTAGATCTCTTTCCAAGAAGCAGAATCCTCTTATGGAAGTACTGTTAAACTTATGGTGTACTTGTGTCACATGACAGCTGCTAAATCTGGAGTGTAGTTATCTGGCTTTGGGAAAACTTCAGAGGACTGTCTAGTATCTTCAAAGCACTCATTGATATCTGCTATAAAGAAAGCATCTTCGGATGACAGGTTCAAACTTTTTCCTTTTGTTAGAATTCTGGCAGGTATAATTTGGTTTTCCTTCTGTAATTTTACTTGTTGCCTACTCCATTGTGGCTCATTCTCTATAGCCTTTGTAGAAAATTACATTGACTTCCATGTGGTCACCTCGAGGGAGCCTTTACTTTTTTAGTTGCTGTTTTATATTATACAGTATAGATTTTGTGGCTTAAATGGCAGCTACAAGAAATCTTTAAGGCCTTATTTTGATAAGATGCATTTTAAATAAAGTAAGATTATCGATAGTAGTCCTTGAATGTTTAAGGGTTTTTTTTTTAGTATGGAAGTGCTAAAGTGCTAGTGGTTGGCTGTTTAGGTTGCTGCAATTATACCAGAAGTTGAACAGTTTTTTAATGAATGAAGCCCATTGACTTAAGTTCATAAAGCTTGCTAAGCCTAAACCAAACAAATCCCATTATGACTCAAAGTGATGTGTGAACTCAAAAATCCCACATACTTGCTAGGGCTGGCTGCTTGATCCATATTTATTGCTGAGCATTATCACTGTTACAGTTCTTAGATAGTCAAGCTCAATCAAATCCGTTTCCCTCCTGGGAAAATGTTCTTAGGACTTCTGCCCTGCTATGGCAGTTCCCATTGAATAGCTCTAATGATACAGCCTAAACCCCTGCTTTGTCTCTCAGCCCAGTTTAACTCACAAAGTGGTGAAGAAAAATGGAGGAAGAAATGCTGCATTCTCTGCCTTGAGATCCTGGAGATAAGGTGGCCTATAAATCTAACAAATAGAGTTGTTCAAGAAAACTGCAAAATCAGTTTATGTATTAAAATTTGGTATAAGCTGCTATCCAATGTTTTATTCCTCCTACCTTTCTGTTATCCCGTTTTTAACATTTTAATTCCTGCTGTTTCTTTATTTGAGAGTATGGTTCTAGGAAAGAGTTTTGCATATTTTCTCAAGAGCATTTGTAATTCTTTTGCCTCTTGGGCCCCGCATCTTTTATACCTTTCACCAAGTTATGCAAATATTTAGTGCTTTTCTGTAAAGAGCTGGTTTCTGCCTTTCATGGCTATTGTTGGGTCCTCATAGCTGTGCCAAGCCTTCAGTCAGAAATCATGCTTTCAGCCAAGCCATTATCAAAAAGCATTCCTCCATAGTTTCCACTGATAAGGAGAAATGGTGCAATTGGAGCAAGTGAAGATTGGTGGCAGAAAACTTGCCAATAGGATGTTGCCCTGTGGCCTTTTGTTCTAGAGGGAAGGGCTTCTTGAAAATAATGTGCTGTCTAAAGTACTTCTGTATTAATGAGAACGTGATCAGGTCAGCTGGCAACTAACTTCTCTTGGGCTGTGTGCTGAGAAGTCTTGGGTTTGGTCCATGAAATAGCTAATGGCTGGATTAGCTGCTGGCTGTGGTTGAGCTGTTCAGGGACAGCAGTTGCCATGTGGAAGAAAATGAATAAGGTGTGCATAATATTTGTTAAAGTAGCAGCTGGAATGTTTTGAATCAGATATCCTTATATGTAGAAGGAGTGTTGGAAGGACCATGTGGGTTAATGTGCAGGATGAGCTGCTTCTATTTTGGAGGATCTGGATTCCAAATCTAGAACGTTAGAAATATATAATTTAGATTATGAGCTTGAAGTAGGTTTTCCTCAATGTTCCTTAAAGGAATCTTCTGTTTCTACCTTGTAACTATGTTTACTTAAATAATTCCCATGGATTCAGAGAAGTGTGCATACAATTGCACTTATTGCCTGGACTCTATAATATTGGGACTGCTTTACTCATTGCCTAAAGTAGGGTGTTCTTCTACAAGATTCAGGCATAGCACATGTTTTCATTGCTGTCAAGATATATGTCCCCCCAAACTTATGAATGCTGCTGCTATGCTACATACATAAGCAGCACATCTGAACCTTGAGGCTTGAAGGTTCACACATTATTGCCATGAGCACTCCAGTAGCCATAAGAAGAAACGTGCCATGGAAATATGCTGAAGAGACTGCCTAATGCAGAGTCGGACCCCTGGTTTATATCTTTACCTAGGTATTGCTTCTCTACTCTATCGAAGTAACCCTCAAGCTTCCAGATACCAGTCTTTCCCCAAGCCCACTTACAGTTATCAGAAATCAATGACGATATGGCCAGTCTTCTGTAGTTATGGTATATCTATGTCAATATTTTATCTTAAATTATTGTCTGAAGCAATGAGTATTTTTTTCTTTTGATTAAAGCTAAAATTTATTGTATGTTGCAGTACATAATCATACATAAAATCTATTGTATGTACAATATGTTAAAGCTAAAATCTATGTATATTATATGTTGTGTGTATGCTGCACAAATAACAAAAGATTACACAGTTTAACATGAGGACACAGTCCTTTCAGTGACAAATTTTTACATCAAGGTCTGTGAAGGAGCCCCTTGCCAAATCTGTCTGAAATACGCAATAGATGGTGAAGAGGAAAACAGAATTTTCCTTCTTGGACAACTGAAATGGCATGTTTCTATGTTCTTCCTTTAAACTTTTTCTAAGTCATTTGTTTACTTAGTAATTCCTGTCTTATATTCGACTAAAATTGAAGAACAGATAAGCTGAGAGAACATCCTTTTCCCATCTAAAGTGTAAAATATCCTTCTGTCAAGCATCTTCATCCATTTCTGAGATGAGCTACATAGATAACATGATGCCTCCAACTTCTGGAATATCTGTCCATTGCTTTTTACAAGGGACTATCAATTTCCTTCCAGGTCAGGATGGCTAAAGAATGAATAAAGTACGTAGAGGTTTAACATCCTATATTTTATTAGCCTTTCCTGTTTTTATTGATAAAGATGTCAGGCAAAAAATGTGAGGAATGTAGGCTGTTTCCTCCCAAGCTGTCTGGTAGCTTCTTTTTCTCAGAACACTTTTTTGTCTATAGTTTGGCCTGTGTAAAGCAACTGCTTTTTTTTTTTTTTTGCATGTATTATCAATTTAATTCAATAATATTTTCCTCTAACTAAAATTGTAATAGCTCTCTGTACCTTCCTTAGTCCTAGTATAAAACACCCAATTACTGTTAAGTCTTTTGTTGTAAGAGAGCCATTGAGCAATATCTTTTGTAGGTACAGTGACCAGCAAAAATCCCATGTGTGATCATACCATGGATTTATAATATATTGCAGGATTGTTTCAGCTTTGTTCTCTTCCTAATAATTTGTAGCATTTGCTTTACGACAAGAGGAACATTTAACTATCAATGCTCCAAGATCCTTTCCTGATTGCTCAGAACCAGCCCAGGTGTCATTTATTTAAATTCATATGAGAAACCTGAGTTTTATTGTTGATACTGTCCAGTTTGCCCTTATTTACACAACTACATTTGCCATTTTAAGGTTCATTTATCCAGTTTGGAGAGGTTTTTTGCTTTTTTTTTTTTTTTGCTTTTACTACCTTGAAAAGCTTGGTGTCATTAGCAAACTACCCTTCTGACTTTCAGAAAGTCTGTGAAAACTTGGTTGTTCTATTGAGCCTTGGGGGCAAGGTTGCTTTTTTCCACAGCTGAATTAGAGTACAATGTCACCATCCTTGAGCTGGCAGAAAACTATATTGGTATGAAATTTGTGGTTGATCCTTGTTCTACCTCTATTGCTTCTGTTCATGGTCATCTGACCTTGCCTCTGGTGTAACATGTGGCAAAACATCACACATTTTACACATCTTGAGACTACTTTTGGATGCTGTTGTGATAAGAGGGAAAAACTACTTTAGGAGCAGCTAAGAGTGACTTAAACGTGTCTTACTTGTGTGCTGTGGATGAGATGAAGACAGTGTCATGGGGATCTAACAGAAACAAGATGTCAGGGCAAATTTTTGCAGTGCATGGTTAGTTACTAGTGAGGAATAGCCCATCATATCTCATGGTTTGTGAAGTTTGCTCAGGTGCTTTTGATGAGGATTTTTTCTTGAAAGTTTGAATATACAATGTTTGTTGGAGCCCCCATATTTACATGCTGGTTGACCTCTTAAAAAAAGAATCTAGAAAGACTTCTGCAGAAGTCATATTGAGTTACTTCTAATAAGGCCCCACCTTTTATATGTTCACTTCATTATTTCATTATATTTTCCAGAATGCACCTGTAATGGTTTTTAAGCTAATCAGCCTACAATTTCTTGGTCCTTAAAAAAAATGAATTACATTGTGTATTCCTAGTCCTGACAAACAATTGCGAAACTTAAGAACTAATTGCATACTTTCATTAATAATTTATTGTTGGAGTGACTTTATGAGTAGCAGTGGAACTGGTTTTCTATCTGAATGAATGGGATGTTATTTTCTTAAATGTCCTGGAGAAAAATCTCTTGATTTTCAAAAGCTTTATTTCTGAAGTCAGTAAGAGCTAAAGATACATGGGGAAAAAGAGATAGGTGGTTGCTGCTTTCTGCTCCTTAAAGAAATAGCTAGGAAACATAAATTCATGTCCAACTGTCCATTTTTTCCTCTCCACATCTTTCATCCAGAGTAATGTTTCCATTGCATTTCTTTGTGGATGCCTTAATTGTACTTCATCTTTGTCTGATGAGCCTCTCAGCAGAAGTATGAGTATCTCAGTATTGTCTGCCATGATAAAAACTGTATAGCTTAAAAAAAAATCAATCCTGGTGTGTTGATAATGTTTTAAAAGGTCTCGTGTAATTAGTTCATGTTTACTTGGATCAAACATAAAGAGATGTTCTTTTTTTCTACTATCTGTTCTTATTCTGTTTGATGAAAGTGCTAAACATTCATTCAAAGGAAAATACATTTTTAGATAAATTGTTCTGAGGGGAGTATGATATTCTTTCACTTTTTTTACTTGTGGCCAAGTAAAGGACATCTGAATGTCCTTTCTTTCAATAGACACACTTCAGTCTGCATCCTCTATTACACGTCAATTAAATCCCAGTGGAATAGAACAGGAGAAAACTCCTCTCCTTATACTCTTTTAATACTTGTGCTCCTATCCCAGCTAAAGTTCTGTTCTTCAGAAACTGTTCCACAGAATTAGAAGGGACTTTGGAGGTCTTCTAGTCCAGCGCCCTCCCCCCTGCCCCACGTGTGCCCAGGCAGGTTTCTTCATACCATCCCAGACAAATGGCTGTCCAACCTTTGCTTGGAACCTCCTGTGATGGAGCGCCATGACTCTAGAAGGCAGGCTGTTCCATTGCTTCCATTCAATTTCTTTGCCCATACATTCAATGGAGAATTTTGAAACTCATTTCAAATAACACTCTGGTTCTGACAACCAGAATGGCAAGTACTCTCTCTGTTACCTGAAATTTTAGGCTTGGTTATTAGCATTTTAAAAAGGCGATATTAGCATTTTTAACACAGCAGTCTCGGCCTCTTTTCTAACTTTAGGAAAATATGTTTTTCTTCTGGACCAAGATTATTTCTTTTGGTATAGGAGAACTTGCCTTTTCAGCAACTAAACAATAGAAAGCATATTCTGAAAAGTCCTTGAATATACTTGCAAGTTTTAAGGATACAAACCCGGCTAGGAAAGAGAGTGATGTAACTCATAACTTTGCCACTAGTGAAATGTTATCTGTAATCAGTGTTTTCTATTGTTCAATTCTCATGTGTAATTTATTATTTGATTACTTGCTTTCTGAAGTATCACATATACAGAATGTACGTATCATTTGTTTCTGCACCCTATAAAAAGACTTGACCCCCCCCCCTTAATATATGCTTTTTGCTTTGCTTAATGATGCTAATTGGGACTGGAAACTGTCGTTAAGCAACACGTTTGTAACTCGAAAAAACACATGACTGCGCCACTTAGCGATGGCAGTTGCCATCATTAAGCAAGGATCGTGCATGTTGTTAAGCAAGGACTTCATGAGACTGCGACTAGCAACTTCTTTCCAGCTTCCCCACTGACTTTGCTTGCTGGAAGCTGGCAGGGAAGGTCGCAAATCGCAACTGTGGGGAAGCTGCAATGGCTGAAAGTACGAGGACCAGTTATAACTACCACTCATTCAGTCCCTTCATGAGTTCAAATGGTTGCTGAATGAGCGGTTGTTAAACAAGGACCACCACCTGCATTGCTTTGTTGATTTGAGGGGAGGTATTGCTGGCAGTGCCTCTCTCTTTGTCCACATGTACCGCCTTCCTTCACTCCTGCACAAAGTACAGGATATTCCTTGTAGCTGTTAGTCATAGCTCCGTTCTCTCGAGCTTGCTTTCCCATGAATTATTTAGAGGGACAGGCACACAATAAGGCTTAATTAAAGCCAGTATTTTTCTCTCTTTGTCCTTTTCTTGTATCTTCTGGTTGCCATGCTTAAAGCAAAAAACTTGCTGCTCTGGCCCTTACGGGAATGCCTTGACTGGTATGCCCAAATGTTACCATTGCTTTAAAGGCCATGGAAATTAGAAGAGGTTAGGCTGGCTCTTTCTTGAACAAACAAGGAATGCTGTGTGCCTGCAGGAGGCAACTTTTCCTTCCACTTGTTTTTCTGGTAGAGCAGGAGTCAATTCATACCTTCTGCGGGTGATGGCAGGCGTGTGCTATTTCAGCCCTCTGTTCAAGAGGAGTAATGCTTACAAAGCTTTGTTGCTATGCTACAGTAGTGACTGCAGAGTCCCAGGGTTGCATCCTTGTGCTGATCGTTAAAGGTACCCTGTCTATTTGACAGCACTTCCCCAACTTCATTCAATAAAGCACCAAAGCAGATAAATAACAGATGCACATGTGTTTACCGTCAGCATCTTTTTGAGCTAAAATTAACTCTTCATCAGGGCTATTTGTTTCAGACACAGCTCTGTTCCAGCATCTGAAGGCATTTCTTTTGCCTGCTTTTTTCTTTCTTATATGATTAGCTTGTGAGAGGATTTTATATATTTCCCAAATTAGTCTGGGTCTTTGCATCTCAGCTCAACTGCAGGATAAAGTAAGTCTAGTGTCAAAAGTAGCACTAAAAATCTGAGGTTAAAGCCATACATATAGAAGTGAACCAGTATTTTGTTTACCAATGCTTGAATGAGAAAAATGGGTTTTAATAGTGTACAGTCCAGAACAATGGCAGGTCTAATACCTTGTAGGAAGGTAAAACCTGTGGCAAATTCACAAAAGCTAATGAATTCAATGTGTCATAAACTTTGGCGAACATTTGTCAAGTATAAGAGGTCACCTAAAGTTGTAAATAGAAGTTGTATTTGTGTTATGAAGACTTGACTTTAATCTTGAGGGTTTTTTTACCAAGTTTTATTAGTGTTAGTGAGACCATAAAGATGAGACAGCTTCTTAGACCACCCCAACCAGGGTACTTCATTTGGATGAAGAGAGGAGCTATGTGTCTTTCTGTTGTTACCTGTTCATTGTATATGTTCTAATGTGTGTCTGTGTGGTTTTGTTTTTTTTTTCCCCTGGGCAGACCTTACTCTCTGAATTAGGCGCTTGACTGAAGCTGATAGAGAATGGAAACATTTCCTTGGCAATGTCTCTGGGAAGACTCCTCCGTCGTGCCTCTTCCAAAGCATCTGATCTCCTGACCTTAAATGCAAGCAGCAGCTGTGGTGGTTCGTCTTCCATCTTGGATGGAGAGATTATCTATTCCAAGAACAATGTTTGTGTCCACCCCCCTGAGATGCTGCAAGGTGTTGCGGAACATCACCCAGGTGAGGACAGGTGGCAAATGTCAGGAAGACTCTGTAGGATTGTGTGCACAGCAGAATCTCCGAAACCCTCTTCAGGCATCCAGCGCTTGTAAGTGTGGAGGGAACTGGGGACATGCACTTCAGTCTTGTCCTACTCCACCCTGACCTCCCTCTGTGATCAGCGACATTCAAGATGGATGTAACTGCATTAGACTACATACAGTAGCCGTTCTCCTGGGGATTGGAGTATTGTACCCATGTCAAGTTCAATATGGTTGCAACTCCTTTTTCAAGCTTTCCCTGTCAACATGGACTGTCAGGAATGGAGTGTTCACATCTCTCCCTCCATACTTACATTTTTTTTAAATGCTCAAAGACAGCTTCAGCTATTTGCTTACCTTTCCCTTACTACTTATTCCACCTCTCACCCTGTATACCTTCAGCTGGAAACTCCTTTGTTTATGGATCCAGTGGGAGTGACTAAATCTTGCTAGCCAGGTAGTGTAGCTCAGCTGTTACTTTGTCGTGGGCACCTCCTTGCAAACACCTTGTCTAAGTTTCCTAGTTTGGTGTAAAATATCTCCTTCCCTTTGTATTTTTGTAACTTGAGTATGTGGTGGCATATGCCGTATTAGAACTTCTAAAACAAAAACCTCATTTTAGGATTAAATTACATTTGATTTGGAGGATCCAGAATTAGATTGTGCAATGTTTGTTTTGCTTTCATAAGCTTTAACACAAAGAAGAATCTTTTCAGGCAGCAAGCACCATTATGTGATTTTGCAAGCATCAGAAAAATATAAAGATAATGAATTTTTTATACATGTATAATACCCATTCTGCTATTCACTTTGCAGCATTATGCAAACTGAACAAAAAAAGCAAGGCTCTATTTTTTAATTAGATTAAAATTAAATTAAAATGGTCAACATCTAATTTGAAAACATTGATCTTATGACTTTAAGTATTTTAAGTTTTTTTTTTTTTTAATTTAAATTTGGAGTGGTCAGTGGGTGCCATTTAGTGGTATCATGGCTACTATGTGTCACTCCCTGTTGTATTTAACTAACAAGTTGTGAATTTTATCATCTTTTTCTGCACTGCCCTTTTAATCTACATGTTTCTTTTAGAAGCTGATTTTCTCTCCCCCCTTCCCTTAAATACATTTGGAACTTAAATTTGTCAATTCATTCTTGATAGTCTTTTCAGGCTGATTCTGAAAGCCAATATCACTGATTAACACTTATGGAGCTCTTGTTGCTAACTTAGATTTAAAAAGGATAAAGACCTTTTGGGGTTGGAAGGGTCAACCTGGATGATTTCTAGTTTTAAGCAATAAGCGCAGTATGTATTATGGCATTCAGTTTTCACCCAATTTGTTTCCAGGTCAGTGGCTGCCTTTTACAGTAGGCAGATAAATTCAAAGCATGATGACTGTTCCTATTGCACATTGTCTGCAGATTTATGCTACAGATCAGCAGCAGTAGAAGCATCTACTGTAATGTCTAATTTCATTCGTCAAAAGGCTTGTATTAGTAAAATGTAAGTTAGTGTTTTATATTGGTTCCCTGGTCACTTGTGTAGCATTTATGTAGCACTTGTGTAGCATTTGTAACAAATTCATATCTTTCATATATTCTTTTGAATATGATGTATTTCTTCTGTTTAGATTTTGATTGCCTTTATAGCATTTGGTTTTGCTATAATTTGGCAAATAGCTTTCTGTGTTCAGAGACCATTCTTTTTTTGTTTTTAAAGTCAGCTTCTGAGTGTTGCAGGGGACATGACAACATCATCAGTAGAAGCCACATTTTGGCCCTCTCAGGCATAGGCAGCTGCAAGGTGGGCAAATGATGAAATTTGGGTTGCAATGCAAACTCTGCCCTTGTCAGCCCAACCAGGAAGGCCAGACTAAGAAACCATTGCCATAAGTCAGGACTACTTTTTTTGTAACAGCTATAGTAATAGAATTGTGCAAGTCTGAATATGCTTCCCCCTCCCTCCCATTGTGTGAACTAGGGAGGGTCTCCTCTGAGATGTTTTCTCAGGTTATTTTCTTGGCCTGGGCTCAAGCCTCGCTTATCTGACCGTTGCCTTAGTAGCAGCTCTTTCTCCTATCCTTCAAGGCCATTTCCTATTCTCTCTACAGCCCTTTACATACTTACAAGTGATATCATGATGTAAGTATGAAATGGCACAGTTTACATTATAACATCAGAATGCACATTCCATTGGAATTCATTGTGGTTAAGTGCCCTATACTGTTGGGGTAGATTGCATTAAAAAAAAAAAATTAAAGGTGTATGGAAGCTAAATACATTTATTTTGCTTCTTATTTTCTTTTTTAAAAATCCTGAAAAGAATCTCATAATTGATACATGCTAATTATCAGAAAGAAAGCTTAAAGATATTAGGTATATATCAATAAGAAAACTGGAAACAAGAAGTTGTTTTATATGGGCTAGGTACCTGGTGTGCTGGGGATTTCAAAGGAAAGACTCTTCTCTACCTCTGTGGAGCAAGAGGTCAGTCCTCAGTATGAGGATGAATGAGCCTTCAGAAATGGAACAGTTAGGAAAGGGGGTGAAGCAGCTCCATTGCAGCCACTGCACCAATTAGAACAATTTGGGAAAGCTTGCAGTGTCATCCTTATTCCCAACAATATCATCTACTTTCGTTGATTTTAAGTTTCAACAAGATTGCTGTGATTTTTCATCTTACGGTAGGAATATGCAGCTTGCTTGTTGACAGGGCTAACTTGCAGATAACTAGCAGAAGGGAGAAAATTCAGTAAAAGTTCTAGTGAGCTGTGAAGTAATGCATGGTGTTTGCATCCTTAATATCTAGGTTGCACTTGATCGCAAAGGAGTTGTTCAAAGTAGCCAAGAGTATAAAAAACATCAAGTTCACTAGAATCATGAAAAGATACGTACAACAATTTAAAGCAACAGCAGAGACAACAGTATCAAGTATCAAGACTAATAATTTCATACTGAACTCCAACTGGATTGCTCTGTGTATTATTTGGATAAGAAATACCTCATGAGAAATCTGTCAATTAAAATATTGATGCAGGACATCTTTAGGGATACTATTGTATGAGGAGGGAAAACCTGGAGCATTAAGGAGAGGGATGAAAAGAGCCCAGTCACTTGCTAGAAATTAAAGGAATTGCCATGTTTCCAGAACATGTAAAATCTAGTAAGCTGAGGGTCAGCTGTAAATCTAAGTCACTGTTTTCTTTTGCAGGCTACTTGTGCTTGTACATGGAGAAAGATGAGCTGCTTGGAACCACGCTTATCCTGGCCTGGGTCCCCAATTCCCGTATTCAGAGGCAGGATGAGGAGGCCCTCCGTTACATCACACCTGAGAGCTCCCCTGTCCGCAAGGCTCCCCGCAAGCGTAACCGACATACTCAGGGTTTTGGCATCCCTATGCAGGCTTCTTCTGTGGAGCAGAAGCAAGCTGTGACCCCAAAGGATGAGGAGGACATTTTGACTGTGTCACAGCTGGTGAGGGATGTGGCTCATGTCAGCCCCCCTTCAGAAGAAGGGGACAAATTGTCCCACAGCTGCTCGGCAACATGCAACATCCACAGCTCTGCTCAGCCTGCTCACAGTGACTCAGGAATTTTATCGACAATCAGTTCTCAGGATGAACAGAACCGATTAGAGGAGTCCGTAGAGGAAGGGCTGGAGGGCCATTTGGAGACAGGAGAAGATGAAGGCTCTTTGGAGTTGTCTGCTGATGATGTTAGCAAAGACAGCACCTTTGACTCAGACTCAGATGCCTTCTCTTCTCCATTCTGCCTCTCACCCATAAGTGAAGCTCTTGTAGAAAATGTTAGCTCCATGTTCCTGGTTAATGAAAACAGGTGAGTTGATGTTCCTGTGCTACTTAAACAACAACAAAACAGAATGGGGAAGACCCATAAATATAATCACCTGGTCCTAGAATAATTTGCTCTGAATTATATACAGAGAGGCATCAACATTAGCTTTCATTAGAGCAATCCTGTACATGTTTACTCAGAAGTAAATTCTGTTGCACTCATTGAGATTTACTTCCATGAAGGGATTATAAGATTGCTGTGGAAACTTGTCTTAAGGATTCTAAAGAGAAGTCAAAGGACGGAATCAACTTGCTATTCAATTTAGTGATTCCTTTAATGCAGTAGACAGAAGATCAAATGCTCTCAGCTGTGTTGTAGACCTCCTTGTTTTGAGGTATCTGTTTCAATGAAAATATAATTCCAGACATTAGCCTTCTTGTCTGAAGGTGTTCTGCTCAGTGCAACAATTTATTATTTAAATATGTATCTACATATATTTTCATAGCAAATACACCTCATTGGCAAATATGTTGTTTGGAAGAGCTGCGAAGACCTGACTCTTTGCTCAGGCTTTTGGCAAGGAAGAGTGAGATCTTCTCACTTCATCATGCTTGCCATCTTTTATCTTTTGTTGATTTTATTGTAATTTCTTTGATTGTTGTGATCCACCCAGAGTTGTTGAGAGTTGGGCAGCATACAAATTTAATAAATCATCATCATCATCATCATCATCACACAGAGAATAATTTCTATCTGGCTGTATGGATTCCTTTATGTTTATAAGCAATTGTTAATTCAGGTTGGAGAAATTTCAGTGTTATGGTACAGCATAACTTTTATTTCTCTGAAAAAATATGTAACCATTATATTTTACTGCCCTGCATATGTTTTTATGATTTAGGTTCACTATGCTGTTACCTGTTTAATTTCAAAGAGTTACACCACTTGGTCCGTGGAGCATTTGGCCTATTCTGAGGGCGTCCTTGTTTCTTCCCTGTTTGTTGCTTTTTGTAACATCTTGTCTAATGAAGTATTCTGAAGATCACTATCACTTGCACACTCTTCTGTACCATCTTGGTTATATAAATACTACCCAACAATGTAGTCTAGACAGCCAGGTTTATAAAAATGACTTAGCTGATTTCTCACTGCTTTCCTCAGTGCTGTGGCTTGGCATGTTATTGTTACAATGCTGTGATCTACATCTAATATAATTTGCCTGGGGTGAACTGAGCATCTGCTGTTCTAGGGTGAAGATGTATATTTTATCGGTAGAATGTGACCAAAACCACAATGCTCCAATTTAGTGCCGGGTCATACATTTGCCTGCTTGTGAGTTTATTCACGTTCAGTGTGAGAGGCGAGTGCCCTCATGCGGCCTCCCAGTTATATTGCAAAACGGCTAATTGGAGATGATTCTTTTGATGCAGGTTGTCGTTTTTCCCCCAAGCAGTTGCTCTAAGACCTTCTTGATATTTGTTTGGCAGCAGACTGCCTTGGTTTATATGCTAATGGCCTTTGAAATGCCAAGACGATCTGTTAGAGTCCAAAGCTTGCTTATTTGGAAAGAATGAAAATCCATATTAAGCCAAGAATATAGTTGATGAACAATCCATGTACTGTAGAGGATTCCCACAATATAAGACTATAACCTAGGCTAGACACAGCTTGGATACTAATTATCTTCTCTCCATCCAATCATCCCTTTTCTCCAAGGTCTTTTGTCACCAAATAAGTACTCTTGGACATCTTAAAAGCCTACATACTATTTTTAAACTTCAGTTGGGTGAATAAAGGAAGGTATTGTTGATATAGTCGTCGTTGTTGGACTGGGACTAGGGATACCCAGATTCTACTCCACATTCAACCCTGGAAGCTCACTTGGTGACTAGCTGATGGGACAGTCACTCTCTCAGCCCATCTTATCCCCCAGGGTTAAATTGTGGGGAAAAACAGAAGGAAGTGCTTTGCTGTATATGTTGCCTTGAGCTTATGAATGAAAGGTAGAATATAAATCTAATGCTATATGGAATTTTTCTCATGGCCAACATGGCTGCTTCTGCTTTCCTAAAAATAATGAAAATCAATTACCGTGCTCCCAAATAGGCAAGTTTTAAGAACAAAATACTTGGAAGTAACACTTGAGTCAGTGAAGTCTTGTTAACTAGGGGATTATTTTTCTAGTGCTTCTCCTAAGCATTCAAACTGCCTGAAGAATATAAAAAGATTTGTGTTGGATCAGACCAAAGGCCTACCAATATTCTTTGTAGTGTAAGGATTTTTTAAAAATCCCTATAAAGATAAATGAATTATTAAATGCATTACATGTATTAAATGATCCCATTCAAGGTTAGATTAATAAAGGCTGCACTGGGCATCACATGTAACCATAAACAGTCTAAGAGGCACACCCACTGCATTAGTGCCCTGAGACTGTCCACATGCTTCTCTGGCTTCGACCAAGAGGTGTGAGGCTTCCAAACCAGGCTTGTACACTGGCAGTGGCTAAGCATATCATCAAAATGCAAGATCCAAAATGCTACTCCTCTCCACAAACTGCAAGAGTGTAACCATGATTTAAGTTAGGGTTTGTTTAAATCAGCTGGAGGCAATAGTGGCCTGTTTCTAGAAGATGCACTTTATGATCACTTGTACATGGACAATTGGTTTTGAAGAGGTGCCTCTCTGTTTGCCAGAGGAGCCACTGGACGTAACACACCAGCTGAACATGTTCACCTTTTTTTCTATACTAGTTCCTATAATTTATTTTTAAATTTGTCATACATATGCTAGTTTGTGTTAGGGTGGGAGAGAGATAGATATTTAGAGAAAGTGTATATATGTGTGTACACTCATGTACCTGCATACTTCTGTCTGATTGCCACTTTTTACCTTTACGATTTTCCTTACACCCATATTTACTGCTTGAGAACATATTAAAAGTTCCCCTGTTGTAGGAATAAGTTATACCTACAAAATAATGCAAGTGTTAAGAAGTGTCATTAAGCCTAAATTTCTATAATTTTAAACTCAATAACTTAGTTTTTGTTTTGATATAGCACTATGTTTATTTTTCCCTCTCCTTAGGAGTTTTCTTTTATTGTAAGTTGTCCAGTTCCATTGGTTACTTATTCTTGTGGTGTTTGTCCAGCACAGCATTTGCATCATACAAGTTTTGGAAATATCTTGTTCAGTTTGTCACTCCCACCATCCCAAACCCACATGGTCTGTTTCATGAAGATGTGTTATATATCTCCCTCATTAATGTTGGTTTGTCTTGGCTCAAAGGGGAGTTGAAGGTGAGAGTTATTGTTTCTCCCAGTTCTCCCCCCACCTCTGTGTTTCTTTTTAGAGTCCCTAGAGTAGGCCAGTGCTCTATGAATAAGTCTTAATTTGAGTTTGTCCCTTTTCCGCCTTTTATTTTACAGCAAAACATGACCATGTTGCTGGCAGATTTCAAAAGCATTTCATGTCTAAAATGGTCATCGTCTCTTTGCTCAGCAGAACTATTATAATTGCACAGATAATAACAAACCATGAACTAGTTATCTCATTCTGATTATGATCTTTTAATTTGATAAGCCAAGATATTTTCTCCATGCATGTAGCTATTTTGCTCCTTTTTTCATGTGAGCCACAATTAAATCAGAACAGTCTAACCAGAGCTTCTGGGTTACAGATCTTAAGACCTGTATCAAATTATGTTTTAAGATAAATTATTCCAAAGCTAATTGTAATAATAGAGAACCAAGTGTATGGAGAAAGTGCTCCTATGTATTTTCATTTAAGTTGATTCATAGAATATTCAAATGTTACATTGAACCCCATTGTTGCCTACTAGTTCAACTGTTTATAAGTATCTAACCTAAGGGAGAAACTTCTTGCCTCTCTTCACATATGGACTGACAATGTGGAGCTAGTGCCAGAACTAGGTGGGGTGCTATTTGGATTTCTGGTTTTGAGGCTGCTCTCCTCAGTGTTGTTGACTTTAGCAATAGATCTCAGAGTTGGGAAAGACAGACTTAATTGGCCCTGTGCTTAGAAGTATAGTGTTTAGTTAAGCTGATGTCCCACAAGCCAGCCATAATGCTGTCTTGAAAGCTCTGTTAAGGTGAAAAGATCAGATTCAACACATCTAAGGAATGTGCCTATGAAAAGGAACAGTAGGAGTTTGCCCATACTGTTTGGCTTGTACTTCTTGGCAATACACTAGGTGAGGCCAAGTAAAGCAAATCTAGGGAAAATGAAAATATTAGCTATAAGAGATGTGTAGCATTTGCTCTGAACTGGAGAGGACTGTATTTCCATTAAGGATTAGATTCATAATCTGCAGATGCTCTTGGATTCATTGCTGTCTCTTGAAGTACAGATAGTCTCAATAGCTCAGACTGTCATAGCTTAGTCTATGATACAGTTTTCAAGTCAACTTGGATATATAATCTTGCAATTGATATCCCTGCTCTGGCAACCCCCTGTTTGGGATATTGCAGTTTATTATACCTGGAGCTGCCTTTGAAAATTGGCTTCCAGGAGCAACTCAGGGTCTGGTTTCACCTATAAAGTCCTGTATGACTTGACTTCTGATTATCTACAAGATCATCTGTTCCAAATGGAATCTGCCTGTCTGGTAAGAATCAATCTGAGAGGGATGTTATGGGTGCTTCCTCCTTGGGGGGGGGGTTGATGGAAGGGGCCCTAGGGCCTTTTCTTTTATGGCTCTCCTTCCCTTACATCAGCTTGCCATCAGAGACAAAGCTGGCTTTGTATCTTGGTATTTCAGAAGTTGGTTAAGACCTGGCTGTTCTCAGTGCCTTTGTGAATGGAACATGAGACATTAGTGGAAACTGTTCCTGTGTAAAGGTTGGACAGCACTAGGTTGAATATGGACAGTACTGAATTGTGGTTTTTCATTTTGGTAAGGTTTTCATTTAATTACTTTATAGAATGTTTTTAGCTGCATAGAATCTGTGGATTGAAGTGGCATATAAGCCCAATTAATTAAGAAGTCTGGAATTTTCAGTTGTTAAAATGGGGAAAGAAAC